GCGCGGAGCGTGTAACGCAACGACTCGCCCGCGCCACATCACGTATAATGCGCGATCTTGAGGAACAAGAGAAGCCGGAAGTTGTCGAGGCAACGAGCGAAATTCCGATAGCGTGCATTCGATAAGGAGACGCCGCTTCGGCGCTGATAGCGTCATCCCTGATGGCGAAAGTTCCGCGATTTCGCGACGTCGCTGTCTCGAAGTCGCGCGTAAAAATAGCTGCGTGCCAATTCACTCGTGTTCGGTTCTCTTCTAATTCTGTCCCTTCGACAAAAGGAACATTGAGCAGACCAGCGCGAAAAGAGGAAGCGAAGTTGCTTATAATGTCAGATATAATTTCGGATTAGTTCACAGGTGTGTTAAGAGACTCTTTGTATATATACAGGGTGTCCCGTATCACCTTCACAATCTCTCGTGAGGACGCAGAGCGGATTGAGAACACAAAAGTCCTATACCATTTTGCGATATTCGCAATAATAGTCGAGATATTAATTAAAAAAGATTGAAAAATGATAATGCGCGATATGGTAGATAAGCTGCAATTGCACCGTCTACCGTTGTATACTTGTATATTAAGTCAAACTAAACAAAAAAGTCCTCTACCATTTTGCAAATAACAACATAGATTTTTAGATATTAATTAAAGAAAATTTGTGCATTATAGTACATAATCATGTAACAATTTTCTTTGATTAATATCTAAAAATCTATGTTGTCATTTGCAAAATGATAGAGGACTTTTTTGTTCAGTTTGACTTAATGTACAAATATACAACGGTAGACGGCGCAATTACAGCTCATCTACCATATCGCGCATTATCATTCACCAATATTTTTTAATTAATATCTCGATAATTAATGCGAATATCGCAAAACGGTATAGAACTTTTATGTTCATCAACCCATTCTACGTCTCCACAAAATGCCCGGAGGAGAGTGTGAGACACCCTGTATATACAAAGTATCTCACTATATAAGGTATCCTGTATCATCTTCATAATCTCTCGTGAGGACGTTGAGATTCGTAGAGCGGATTGAGATACAATC